TGGCAAACCTATCAATGTAGTCGCAAGTGCCAAGAGAAATTGCCGAAGTCGGCCTTCTCCGTGGACAGTAGCCGCGTCGCGCGTGAGGAGAAGAACGGCGCCCTGAAATGCAAGGCGTGCAAACGATGCCGTTGAAGTAGGACCAGCGGGGGTGAGAGCGAGAGGGAAGACGAAGCCGATGAAAAGGGGAAACAGCGATGGAGACAGCGGAGGAGGAGGAGGAGGAGGAGGAGGAGGAGGAGGAGGGGAAGGATGGGTGAGAGGTGGAAGGGGGTGACCGGAGGAGGAAGAGGAGGAGGAAGGAGGAGGAGGAAGAGGAGGAGGGGGAGGAGGAGGGGGAGGAGGAGGGGGAGGAAAAGGAAAAGGGGGAGGAGGAGGAGGAGGAAGAGGAGGAGGAGGAGGAGGAGGAAAAGGAGGGGGAGGAGGAGGAAGAGTCACGATTTGGTGCACGGGTCAATACGCAGATTTCTGGTGGGCTTTCGGGATATGCGACGGAGGAGACGGAGAAGAAAGCCTCGCCTTCGGGGGCCCTGCTTGTCGCCGCGGTTGGGCGCGACTCGATCAGCCGGTGCGTTCGGGGATGTCCGTGGGGATCTTGCGGGGGGGGCCTTGTCGCGGGCTTTCCGGAAACAGTTCGGGAGGTTCCCGGGGGCATTTCTTGGAGGCGTCTTGGGAGCCTCTTGGGGCGTCTTGGAGGTTTCTTGAGGTTTTTTGGGAGGCCTTTTTGGGGCCTGTTCGGGCTTCCTGGAGGCTTCTTGCGGCGGAATGCCGGGATGTTTCGGTTCGTGGTCCCTCTCAGGGGGGCCCTCTTGGGCCCGTCTCGGGCGCCTCTTGGGCCGTCTTGGGTGGTTTTTGAGCCGTCTGGCGGCCCTCTTGGGCCGTTTTGGGGGCGTCGTGGAGGCCCCTTGCGCCGTCTTGGAGCGGTCTTGGGGGCCTGCTGGGCGGCCTTGGAGTGTCGGGAAGCTGAATAGGCGAGAAATCGAAAAAACATTGAAAAAACAGTGAACATCAACGATGTTGGCCTTTTGGGGCCCTCTTTGGAGGCCTCTTGGAGGTCTCTTGGGACGTCTTGGAGGCCTCTTGGGACGTCTTGGAGGCTTCTTGGGGCCTCTGGGCTGCCCGCCCGTGGCGCGCTCAGTCCGGGCTCTGGCGCGGCCAGGGGGGGGAAAGTGCAAATCTCCGGTTTGGGGTCCCGGGGGGGAGGGTTATGGGGGGGGAATTATCTCACACACCTAGAGACCCACAAGGGGTCGGCGGACTTCCTCGCGGTTCATGTAGGACGCACGCTTCAGCAACCCGCCTGCTCGACCTCGTCGCTTGGGCCCGCGTGCCCGAACTGCCCGCTATGGGTCTGCCCACCCGATCTGCCCGTCTGGTTCTACCAGTTGTTTTCTGCTCCTTGCCCCCCTCCTGCTAATTCCTCTCGTGCTCCATTCTTCTCCCTTCCCCTTCCACCTGTCCTCTTGTTCCCTACCTAGGCTCTGCCTAGAAGGGTTCTTACTCTCTGGGCTTAAAGGGGCCGGGCAGTGGAAAGCGCCCGGGGCGGTTCCCCCAGTATCCGCCCTGGGCGGTTCCCCCAGTATCCGCCCCGCGGTTCCCCCAGTTGCGCCCCCTTAGCTTAGCTTTGTTTATCTCAGCTTAGCGTAGCTTAGCTTAGCTTAGCCTAGCCTAGCTTAGCTTAGCTTAGCTTAGCTTAGCTTAGCTTAGCCTAGCCTGACTTGGCTTAGCTTAGCTTAGCTTAGCCCAGGTGAGCTTAGCGCAGCGCAGCATTAGCTTAGCATAGCACAGCATATCATATCATATCATAGCATATCAAATCATATCATAGCGCAGCATATCATAGCGCAGCATAGCATAACTTAGCTGAGCCTAACACAGCGCAACATATCATATCATATCATATCATATCATATCATAACATAGCATAGCATATCATAACATAACGCATTATATCATAACATAACATAGCATAGCATGGCGCAACATAGCATGGCATATCATAGCATAGCATAGCATAGCGCAGCATGGCATAGCATAGCATATCATAGCGCAGCACATCATATCATAGCATATCATAGCGCTTCATAGCATAGCATAGCATAGCCTAGCATAACATAGCGCAGCCTAGCACACCCTAACATAGCATAGCATAGCATAGCGCAGCATAGCGCATAATAGCGCAGCATAGCATATCATAGCATAGCATAGCGCAGTATAGCGCAGCATAGCATAGCATAGCATCAAATCAAAGGCAACGCAACAGCAGCAACAGCAAAGCAAAGCACAAGCAACGCAAAGCAAAGCAAAACACAAGCAACAGCAAATCAACGGAAAGGCAAGGCAAAGCAAAAGCAAAACCAATGCGAACTTGTAGATGTAGATGTATATGCAGGTGTAGGTGTAGATGTGGATGTAGGTGTAGGTGTAGATGTAGATGTAGATGTAGATGTAGATGTAGGTGTAGATGTAGGTGTATATGTAGATGTAGATGTAGATGTGAGTCTCGCTGTTGATGCTGATGTAGATGTAGATGCAGGTGTATCTGTTAATGTAGCTGTCGGTGTAGATGTAGATGTTGTTGTCCTAGATGCTCCAACTCCTAGGTAGGGTCGCACTGGGATAATACAAATTCTTTGTTTTAGGAGCTGCGCTAAATGCGCGCAGCAGGTAAGAAGATATAGCCCAAAGGGGGTACGATCGAAGACGACGAGGGCGGGTGCCAAGGCCTTGTGATATACGTATTGCGTGGCACGTGAGCATATGGGAGCGAACAGTCTGAACATGAGTGCGGTTGTTGTTGTTGTTCGGTTCTTTAGGTTTTTTAAATGTCATTCGGCCCATCCCGCCACCGTGTCTTGGAACGACATATGGTGTATCACAAACGAGTGCGTGCATTTCCATATTTGCATATCATGTGCAACCATATCTCTATACATTCAAAGTTGCCTCTTGACTGTGCCGCTGATGCGGTGCGCTCCTGTTGCTTGCGGGACGCCACTGCTCAGCGAGGAACGAAGAGGTTTGATATTCGAGGTGTTCGGAGGTTCGCTTGTTCTTAGTTCAGAACCCTCGCCTCCGAGCAATACCAAGTCAGATCATGCACCTCTGGCCTGGCGCACGCGAGGCGGCGCCTCTTGAGGCCTGCTAGTGTTTTTGTTTGGCTTCTTGAATGCCTCTTGGAGCCTCTTGGGGCCCTTTCGGGTCTTCTTTGGGGCCTCTTGGAGGCCTCCTGGGGCCTCATGAGGGCTCCTCGTGAGCCTCTTAGGGGCTTTGGGGTGCATCTTGGGGTGAGGGGCTCGAAGGGTCAGTTTGAGTTCCTCTGGTGCCTCTTGGGGTCGTCTTGGGGGCCTCCTGTGCCATCTTGGGTCTGTCTTTCCGCTCCCTTGGGGGCCCCTTGGGTTGTCTAGGGTCGGTTTGGGGGGCCTTTTGGGACGTCGTGGGCGCTTCTAACGAAGACGGAGCAGGCGATACGATTCAAATCATACCAGGACCCAAGGGATTGGGCCGATGTTGGCCTCTTAGGGCCTCCTGGTGTTCTCTTGGGGCCCTTTCGAGCGTCTTGTCTTGGAGGTCTCTTTGGCCGTCTTGAGGCCACCTTGGGCGGCCCCGCAGCGCTCTTGGGCCGTCTTGTGCGCCTCTTGGACAGTCTTGGGGCAGTTTTGGAATTTAGTGCCCCCCATTCCTCCCAACCCCGGCAGAGCCACCCGGCCACACCCCCTCAGCAGAGCTGAAGCTCAGCTTGTAGCTTCAGAATGGCTGAAGCCTACATTTAGCTTTTTGCAGAACTCACATGCTGGATCGGCGGGTATGCATACCAGTTTCCTCCAGTCTGCCTGGGGGGCCCGCGAGTGCCGATGGACCTGGCGGCGCGCTCACGAAAGTAATCGCTGCAACACTCACCGAGCGCGTTTCACTACTCGCAAAGTGCCAACTCGCAAACGTCCAACAAAAAGCACATGCCTGCTTCGATGTCGTTTACCGTATATCCCCACGGCGGATCCAGACCATGTGTGAGTAGTTACTTGCGAGTAGTTGAACGCGCTCGTCTAAGCACAGCATGGCACAGCACAGCACAGCACATACTAGAAGAGTATAGCACAGCACTGCATAGCACAGCATATCACAGCATAGTACACAACATAAAGGCACTAGCACTGAATAGCACAGCATAACATCTAATGGCGCGAGCAAGATGTGATCGAGGACGCCTTTCGCCTGTGTCGCGAGAAGCAGGCCCGACAGGCGCCGCCAGACAGCGTTCCTCTCTCGGCAGATCGTGCATGAGAATCCTTCGGCAGGCTTGCCTCTTTAATGTACATAAGCAGCACCATTCATCATGGTGGACATTCTTCCTCCTCCTCCTCCCCCTCGTTTGTCTCCTCCTCCGTTCCTCGTTCGTAGCCATTTTGGCTCAATCCGGCTCAAGACGGTAATTTTTGTTGGCAAGCAGTTCGATCGAGTCTGCTATGTTTTAGATTTGATTGGTTTCTTGCTCAGGTTTTGCATGTGCGTGTTCGCGCATGGAAGATGCGTGTAGACATATATCTGTTATTGTTTCATGTGCTCTTCCTCTGCTCGCGTCTCATTATGGTAAACATTGTTGTGGTCTCAACTGTGCGGTTAATGATCTCTGCAAGGTTCTTTCATTTTCTACTTGGCGCAAGTTGCGGCGCATTGCCGTGGCACATCATTTCAGGAGGCACTATGGGAGGAGTATTCCTTTGCATCTCTTGGTGAAGAGCTTCAGTTTTCTTCTCCGCGCGATGTGGTTCCTCTTCGAGTTGCTCTCGCCCCGCGTTTCTCGAGGATGAAGCGCCGTCGGCCGTTGGTGAATGCGTTCAGCTCATAGGCGCCGGAGTTGACACCGTCTTCATCGGCACTTGCCTCGCCAGCTATGGCGCCATCTACCTTGCTATTCTCGGTCCCAAGGTTGTTGCAGCACGCGCAGGCCGTGTACGACGCGCACCTGGCCTCCTACAGCTGCCTAGGGGAGGACATGAATGGCACGATCGTGCCGCTTCAAAGGCACCTTGAAGAAGATGTCGGGTGGCGAGGCTGAGGTTGAGGAGTCAGAGTCCGATAACCACGGGGAGACCAATGGATCAGTTCTATCTTCTTCATCGTCCTTAATCGCAGGTGAGTCTGAGCAAGAGCCGGATTATATTTCGACTTCTGCCATGGCTGGACACACCGTGGAGGCGAACGGTGTTCTCGGGAGTGAAACCGAGGAGTATCTTGACCAGCGACTCTCTGAAGTCAACCAGAAAGCTCGTACCTATGTTGGCGACCAGCTCATGCAGTTTATGAGTTATTTCTTTGGTGATCTCAGGCAGGCAGTTGTACAATCGATGGGAGAGACTGTCTCACATGTCGTTTCACAAACGCTGTAGGCCCAACTTCCGACGTCGATTCGCAAAGAGGTTGGCCCTTCAATTGAACGGATGATAACCTATGTTGGCGTCAAGCTCGCGGTGCTCGAGGTTTGGTTCAGGGTCCTGAACGACATGGGCGAGGAAAGGTCGGAGGACAGGGTTGCGAACCGCGGCCGTTCGCCACACCCTGTGCCTCCTGTGCGTGGAGAGGTGTTTGCTGCATTGGCTTCCCCTGCGCGGCCACCGCCTTCTGGTCTGATCCGCCGATATGGCCGCCGCCGTCATCGGGCAGTGCGCGTGTTTGTTCACCCTGATGGTCGCTTGATCGATGACAGCCGTATCGGGACTCCGCGACAGGAAGCATATCGCATTCTCGGGATTCGCAACGGCCCTGGCCGCCGCCAAGGGGCGCCTGTGAAAAGAGCGTCCGCTGTTCCTGCAACAGGGACCTCTCTCTCTCTCTCTCGCTCTGATAGTCCGCAGAAGATCGCTTCCCAAGGGAAGCCGATCGACTGCGGAAAGTTCGAGGATATCGCCGCCGCGACGGACGTCGATGATATGTTTTCTTTTGTTTTCAATATCTTCGGTGCTGGGCCCAATGGCGGCGAGGAGCTCCCTGAAGTTCGGAGTTCCGTCGTGCCACAGCTGCTGCGCGACTGGCTCCCCACGGGAAAGGCCCCTGAACCTGACGTCGACTGACTGATCTACCTCTGCTGCGGGGATGCGACCTATCAGCTCTTTGAACGGGCCCGCGGGACGTTAGACTGCCGTTATCCAAATTAGTTGGTTCAGTTCGGAGAGATTTCAGGGTATATCCTTACCGTGTTCTCTGATTAGTCAATGCAGTGGCGGCCTCCCAGATCCGGCTTGCTGATCGCATACGTCCTCTATATGTTTCCCTTTCCTTTATTACATCCTCGTTGAGGTTATGATATGTGAGGTGATCGCCCTCGCTCATTCGCCACCGGGTGGTGGGCGGAATCGTAAGTAACCTTATCGGGCGCGCTCCACATCCTCCGTTCCTCGTGCTTCTGCCTACCTATCTGCCTCTTGCTGTTTCGGTTTCTCGCGCCCGCACGGACTCGGTGGCTGCGTGTCCACCACCTCTTGAGCTTGCCGTGCTGCTTGGGCCCCGACCGCTCTTCTACACGAGGCTTGGTCGTGACGTGGGCTTTTTTCTTTACCATGATGGGCCCTATCGTGTGGGACCCTGTCCGCGCATTGGCAGCGGCGAGTACTTGAGCTTGTCCCTGGCGCATCCCGAAATACTTCGCGCTCTGAGGGCGCTGCAGCCGCTCCGCGGCCCTCCCCCTCGTTGGCCCTTCGCCCTCCTGCTTCTGCGTCCGCAATTCGCTTCCATCGCGCCCCGGCGTTCGCCGACCGCCTGCTGGACCCTGGTCGCCGCAGATCAACCTTGTCGTGTGGGGTCCGACCCCATCATGTGGTACTTCACTCCCGCGTTTTTGATGTTTGCGATCATGCCGTCACGGTGCGCGCGTGGGTCGACGGGCCTGGAGCTGGGGTGTCTGCGCGGCGAAACGAAGTGCCCTCGAGCGCGGTCTGCGGCCGCCTTCGTGAGAAAACGGGCAAGAGTATCACGCATGTTGTATTTCAAGGGGTGGGGTCGCAAACCGCCCAGACGAGCTATTCAAGGCTCCTCCCAGACCAGCCATGAAAGCGCGGCCTTTTGCCCAGACCCTCACTGGAACTTTCCAAGACAGCTCAAATCAGACCCCCCAGGGCCAGAACCTTCACCTGTGCGTCATGAATTGGCCGCCGCGGTGGCACCACATATCAGCCATCTGTTTGACATTAACATACAGGTAACTTTCGGAAGCCAGATACATTAAGTTATTTTTTACTTATTCAAACTCAAATTGCAAACCTAGGAAATGCTTTACATGAATGTATTTGTAGCTGAACGTGACTTCTAACCTGTCGCCGTGGAGCGGCCTTTTGACGTCATGCCGTCCAGTTTGGAGGAGGCGGAGGGATGACGAGGACAAAGGGAAGGATGGGGAGGCGATGGAGAAGTAGAAGGACACGGAGGAGGATCGCACTGGAATCGCAAGGGAGTGCATTGTCTTCACGCGAGAACGCAGGTTTAATAACGATGTGTGGATTTCGTGCCTACCTATCTTCCCTTCTCTCTCCTCCCTTCGTTCCTCCCCCTCCTCCACCTCGTGACTGTCGCTGCCGCTGTTGCGTTCGCCGGTTTGGGCCAAAGGTTGGTTTGATGTCCTGTTAGCCGCTGTCCTACTTCATATTTCATGCTATGGTAGAGTCTCCCGTTGTTGGCATCCAATAAGATAAGCCACCCAGAAGTTTGCAAGAGCTCCCCAGAGAATCCCGCGCGACAAGCGAGCCCATTCCACCCCGCGTCATTCGCGAAGGCGCTTCCCAGGGATATCTCCACGCCCCTTGACAAGGCGCCCACGAACCCACTAGGAGGCCCCGCCCCCGTCCCAGAGGCCCAAAGGCTCTCCCCCCAACGGGCCCCCCTCCCAACGGACCTTGCGAGGTACCAGAGAAACTTCCAGGAGCCCATCGGGAAACTTCAACGAGGCTCCACAAACGCCCTCCGGACTGTTTGTCCGGAGTCGTTTCGGCTTAAGTTGTTTTTGGTTGGTTGGCAGCGTGCCGCCGTCAGCTCCTCCCGCATCAGCCAGCGCTCATTGTGCTCACCATTTGCTTGCGCCCTCGCCCAGTGGCTCGCGTGCCCTCGCGCAGCGGCGCGGCTGGCAGCAGCGACGCGGTCCCTGCAAAGGTGGTGCATCCAGCGGTCTGGTCGAGGTCCACGGAGAAGGTTCTGGCGATTGGCAGCGACGCTTCCACCGAAGGCGGCGACGCGTCCACCGCTTACCCTGACGACTTCAGCTCGGACTACGAGTTCGAGGCATCCTGCGTGGCCCACGGCATGGACATTGTGCCCTTAGACGCAGAGGTTGCTCTTGCCGGCGAGACCGTAGACAACCCGACATGCTTCGAGGACGTCTTGAATGTGAAACGCCCTGGCAGAGGTGATAGTGGCGAGGGCGCGACCCCGATCGTCGCCCAGGCGATCTTCACCGCCCCCGCTCCGACCCGTCTGGCTCGCATCGCTCGTGGGGACGGCATCGCTGACAAGTACTTGCGGAAGCTGCCAGACATGATCCGCGCGGTGCCTGGGTTCGACGATTTCTACGTGTATTCCGCAGGGCATGTCGACGCGCCGAGCTTCACGGAGCTGATCATCAGCTCCAGGACGTCCGAGAAGCGGAAGCGCACGGAGGATGAGAGCCAGGCTGTCGCGCTGGCCACCAAGAAGCTGGTTCCCACGATCAGGAGGTTCAAGCATATGCCGGAGCTGTACATCCAATCGCCAGGTTGCGACGTCGAGTGCGAGGGCGGTTGCGGTCGTCGGGCCCCCGAGAGGCGGGGGGTGTCTGATGCCCGAGAGTCGCGCAGCATGGGCGCGCTCCACCATGTCCAGAGGGGCCTTCGTGCGCGTGGATTGCCAGCCAGCTTTTGATCAGCAGCTCAAGTGAAGAGCTGATTAGGGGTGGGGAGGGCGAATTTGACGGATAAGGGGAGGGGGGGGGGAGGAGGCAGGGGGATCCCCGCGCGTTGTCTCTGCGAGCTTGCCCGTGCGCTGTCTGTGCACGCTTGCTCTGGAGCAACGAATCGCCTTTGCGTTAATTATGTTAGCTTGCGCGCCAATGGCGCTAGAGTTGGCAGCTGCTGAGCTCCCCGCGGCTTCGCGAGGCCTCTCTTTTAACGCGTGAGCTGCCGAATGGCGAGCGCTTCGCGCATGCATTGTTGATGTATATTTACCTCCATCGCTGGGGTTTCATTGGAGGCACCTGGAATTTCGCGCGCCGCTGGCGTGCAGAGCGCAGCGCGGTTGCTGTGCTGCGTGCGCGTTTTCTCGTCAATGGCGCCGGTCTGTGCTGCGGCTCAGTGGTGAAATGCCTCAAGTCCCCAGCTTCCCTCAGCAGCTTTGTCGAATCGGCGCTTCCTTTGTGCTGCCATCCAACGGTCGGCTTCACTCAAGAGGCCACGTGCTTGTTTTCATGTGGGACGTTTTGTTTGACACCAAGTGCACATTTCAGCCTATAGCATGGTGGGCATAATGCAACTGTCCGGGGATGTGGACCGCCAGGGTCCTAGAAATCAATCGTCGTTAAGCAGAACCGGGCCATCATCAATCATCATCGTTGATCACCACATCGAGTTTGGAAGGCCCTCGCGGTCCGCTGAGGCCGTCTTGGAGTCTTGAGGTCTTGGCTTTGGGCTGTGGCATTTGGACCTTTGGGTCTCGCGTCTCGGGGGCGTCTTGGGGCATTCGGCTCTCGCGTCTCTGAGGGGGGGGGGGGCTTCTGGCCCAGCAGAGTTTGCAGCGATGGCCCACGATGGCCGCTTGCCGCTCCGTCGACCCACGTTCGCCCGCCCGCCCGTCCACCCGCCCGCCCGCGGCTGCCGGGTCACGCGGCTAGGCGCGATGGCGATTGCACTTCGAGCGCTTCGGGATGCGCCCGCAATGTTGACCCCGGGGCCGCCCGGCCAGCTGGAGGGCGCGAAGTTACGAGGATTCGTTCTCTGGGAGTTCCCTGACAGTCCAGGGCGGCGCCTTCCTCCTGAGGCCACCCTCGTCGCGACGCCTGGCCGACGCTCGGAAAACTGGATCGTCGCGATGGAAGGGCGCGACTTGGGAGGCAAGCGCGGGTTGACGTTGCCAACCTCAAGGTTACCCATCCCCCGCTCTTGCCCCTCGCCCTCCCCCCTGCAGCCGTTTGGCTCCGTTTTTTTGGCGATGGATCCAGGGTCCTTGGCTGGCGACGCGGCGGCGACTGGTGCCCTCGATGCACTGGCGAGTCTCCCAGGGGCTCGGAAGCGCGCTCTTCCTGCCGCTGCGCGCGCGGACGACTAGACCTCGGCGCGCATGAAGTACGCGCGACAGGTTGCGCGTGCAAGCGCCTGGGGCCCGCTGGCGGATCCTCGGCCCCCTTCTGCCCTCGCCCCGCGCTCGTCTTTACCGCACCGCCTTGGCCGTTTGCCCCGCCCCCTGTTTCTGCCGCCCCCGCGGGGCGGGGGCGGGCGGGCGCGCGGGGTGGGGGGTGGGGTGGGGGGTGGGGGTGGGGGGGGGGGGGTCAGGAGGGGAAGGCAGGGCAGGGAAACGGGGATGACGCAGGACATCATGATGAGGATCATAACAGATGATGTTGATGACTGTAGTCATGACCACGATGCTGCTGATGATGGCGGCGATGGCTACTGGCCGTGGGCCGTGGCGACGGCGGCGGCGATGGCGACGCGGGGGGGGGGGGGGATGCGCGTTCGGATGACGAGGGGTCGGTGACGGAAGAGGAGGGGCGCGCGGATCAGGATGAGCAGGGCAAGGAGGATGAAGGTGAGGAGGCGGCGGGTGAGAATGAGGAGGGGGACAGGGGAGGGAGGAAGTGGGGCAATCATTTTCAGCGCACCGCCCAGGAGCGCCGCGCTGAGCAGTCCGAGCAGCAGCATGTCTCGCTCGAGGGCGCGTGGAACAAACAGCGCCTCCGCGCCGGGACCTGCGCTGGGGAGGCCGCTGGGGGGGAGGGGGGCTTGCGGGCTGACACCTGCACCACGCGCGGCGTATTGCGCTTGGCCTGGCAGCAGATTGGGCGGCCCAGGATGCAGAGGGCTGGCGTCGACGGCAGCTCCCGCGGTCTGGCGATTCT